CAGCCTTTATGCCCTACTGCAGCCCCCAAACCCCTACTACAGCCACTCAACCTCCCAATTACAGCCCATTTACCTTACTACAGCCCTAACCCCCCAGTTGCATCCTCTGTACCTTACTACAACCCTAACCCCTCTACTACAGGCCTTATAATCCCTCACTGCAGTCCCTATCCTTACTACAGCCTGGCACAGGTTAAATCCTGCCTGCTTGGAATCCAACCAATCAGAATGCTCGGAGTCATTTTACACAGCGTGGGAAAGTTCTTTGGAATTTTCCCATGCTGTGTAATTTGACTCATAACAACACTCTGATTGGTTGCTTTTAATCAACCAATCAGAGAGTTATGAGTCAAATTACACAGCATGGGAAAATTCCAAAGAACTTTCCCACGCTGTGTAAAATGACTCCAAGCAGTCTGATTGGTTGGATTCCAAGCCAACCAATCAGAGTGCTGTGACAGGTAAATGTAGAGACTTACCTGTCAATCTCTTCATTTACCTGTCAGAGCACTGTCTGATTGGTTGGCTTACAGCTTTTTTTACAGTTGCGATGCGCATTATGGATTTTTATTTGGCCTTTTGGGGCTGAAGAAAGAAAAGAAGAAAGAAGACATCAAATGATAAGTATGAAATTTTATTTTACAGGTTTAGTTTATTGTTTATTGCCACCCGACACTCATGGGTGGGGACCAGGGGGGGACATTAGGTCTCCTCCATTATTTATATTAGGGTCTCCGCCCACCGCTCATGGTTGGGGACCAGGGGGGACATTAGGTCCCTCCTTTAATTTATTAGGATCCCCACCCGCAGCTCATGGGTGGGGACCTGGGGGGGGACATTAAGTCTCCCCCATTAATTTTTTTATTTTTTATTTTTTATAATTCTTTATTTTTCTTGTGCATTTGGATACATACATGCTTGCAGTGCCACGACAGCTACTGTGAGCAATATCAAAACTTTCAGTGGCATATCTGAGGAGTTGCACATTTAATATTTATAGAGTATAACATGCTAACAATCGCTAAGTGAACTACACGCAATAAGTACACGTTGTAGCTGGGTAATACTAATAGCCGTGGAGTGGCCAATATGTACTAAAAATACGCTCCTGATAATAGCTATGGAGAGGTCTTATGATACCTGGCGTGTGTCTAGCTAGTTGGAGTTGTCCGCTCCGTTAGGATGTGCGCTATGGGGTAAATCCGCCTATGTTTCAATCAGCTGTTCCTAGAGGTGTTGAGCTCAGTGGTGCAGTGTTTCGCTCTACGGTGTTCTCTTCCCTCTGTGTTCGTGAGGTATTTCTATATGGCATCTAAAGGTAGTCCTAGTATGGGTAGCAAGTCCTGCGCTCCCTGGAAGTCGTGAATCTCATGGGTGTTCCCGTTATGTGTCACCAGCAGGGAACGGTTGAGGCGCCATCAGTATGTTATGTTTCGTTGCTGAAGTAGCATTGTAAGTGGCTTAAGCGACCGTCTCCAGGCCAAGGTACTGCCGGACAAGTCAGTGAAAAAGGAGAGGACATGGTTTCGAAGGGGTACTGGGGAAGGTTTTTGACCGCTGCCATAGTTGCGGCTCTGTCTTCCTTGCGCTGGAAGCGGAGTATAATGTCCCTGGTGGCCGCTGGTGGGGCTTTGGTCGGTTTGGGAACTCTGTGGACTCTGTCCAGGCTTATTGTTTTGGCTTTCCGTGCTGGTAGCAGTGCTGCCAAGAGCCTCCTCGCGAAGTGCGGCAGTTCCTCCGCCAGCATGTCGTCTGGTACTCCCCGTACCTTTATGTTGGTTGCTCTGCGTGTGTCTTCCAGTGCGGCGAACTGCCATTCATAGGCCACTGCTTTACTCTGCAGACCCCTTATCTCCGATTGCATGGTGGCGATATGGGTAGCTGTGGTGGCGGAGGAATCCTCCAGGGTGCCCAGTCTCCCGGTTATTCCCTGGAGATCTGTGCGGAGGCCCGCCATTTCTGCCTGGATCGTGGTCTGTAGGCCTGCCAGTAATGCCTTGAGCACCGCTGTGGTGACTGGTGCGTTATCTGGGTCTGGTGGTGTGGCTTTTGCTGCTGGTGGACTGGGAGAGTGATGTGTGTCCTCACCTTGGGAGAAGTCATCCGACAGGTCGGAGTATGTCTCTGGGTATTCGGCCATCTTGGGCCCAACCGCTCCGTGGGCCGGTCGCCACATGGCTCCGATATCGAGGCCAAGTCTGGGCTGATCAGGCTTTTGTTTTTTGTTTTTCCGTCCCATGTCGGTTCCCCTGTTATTGCCTGGGATTTGAGGCTGTTTTGGACGTTTTTGGTCGTTTGATTAAGGTGTTTTGGCAGGAGCTACAATGCTATGCGACTTCTCTGTTCTGCAGCTTGGCTCCGCCCCCCTCTCCCCCATTATTTATTTTAGGGTTCCCATCTGCCGCTCATGGGTGGGGACCAGGGTGGATGTTAGGTCCCCCCTTTAATTAATTAGGGTCCCCACCCACCGCTCATTGATGGGGACCTGGGGGGGGACATTAGGTAACACCCATTATTTATTTATTTTAGGTTCCCCACCCGCAGCTCATGGGTGGGGAACTGGGGGGGACATTAGGTCCCCCCCATTATTTATTTATTTATGGCCCCATCTGCCACTCATGGGTGGGAACCTGGGGGGACATTAGGTCCCCTCTTTAATTAATTAGGGTCCCCACCCACTGCTCATGTGTAGGGACCAGGGGGGACAGGTCCCCCTTTAATTAATTAGGGTCCCCACCCACTGCTCATGGATGGGAACCTGGGGGTGACATTAGGTCCCACCCATTATTTATTTATTTATTTAGGGTCCCCACCGGCCGCTCATGGATGGGGACCTGGCCCTGGTCCCCTTAATGGGTGGGAACCGGGGGGACCTTAGGTCCCCTGTTTATATGAATATCCCCCACCCGTGGATCACGGGTGGGGGCGTGGTCGGGCACTATGTCCCCACCATTTTAGTTATGTGTGTTCCCTACCATGAGGGAACGGAGGGACCTGGGCCAGGTCACCCCTTATTTTAGTAGCGACTGGGCAGCAACAGCTCACAAGGAAACAACATCATCCAACTATCGACCAATAATACTGCCTTCCCACAACATGGAAACTCCTGTCAGGCATCGTAGCCTCCAAGATCCAAGGGCATATGAGTCAATATATGAGCAATACTCAGAAGGGGATTGGAAGCAACACCAGAGGATCAAAACACCAACTGCTGGTAGACCAACCAGTCACAAGGGATTCTAAGGCATGCAGGTGGATTAAACCTCCCTTTTATTAATGGGGGTCATAGTGACCCCCATAGGTTTTAATTCGAGAGGGGGGTGGTAGGAATTGTTGATATTTATTACAAGGATGGAGCTGGTAGCGCAGCCGGCTTCCTCCTTTTTTTGTTTTTTCCCGCGCATGTGCTGTTTCCTAATGGACAAAAACAAATACATTTTGAATTAATTTCATTGGAAAACGAATGGTTTGAGGAGAAAAATTTGGGATTGAATAATGACATTTTTATTCAGTATGAATTCATTTGTACGAAATGAAAATTTCACTGGTGCACATGTCTACTGATTGGATCTAGAATCAAACTGTAAGCACTTTCTCGTCAGAGCGCTCTCAAAGCACGATAATCAGTACCAGTTAGGGAAGTATGGGAGCGGCCCTCCCTTTGTTGATAAATCATTTACATATTTTTTAAATTTTTTTGTCAAAAATAATTTTGGGTTCTGCACACCCTTTCAGATTAGAACATTGTGATGAGAAAAGTCACTTCTTCATAATCAGTTAAAAAAAAAAAAAATATATATATATATGAATTCTTTGTTTAGGAGATTTTCTGAGGTACTTTAATACACATTAACAACACATTTGTGAGAAAATGAAGGAAGAACCCTCACAAGGAAACAACACCATCCAACTAGCAATAATCTGCCTTCCCACAACATGGAAACTCCTGTCAGGCATCGTAGCCTCCAAGATCCAAGGGCATATGAGTCAATATATGAGCAATATTCAGAAGGGGATCGGAAGCAACACCAGAGGATCAAAACACCAACTGCTGGTAGACCAACCAGTCACAAGGGATTCTAAGGCCAGACAGACCAATCGGTGCACGGCCTGGATTGACTACAAGAAAGCCTATGAACAATGCCACACACATGGTTACTGGAATGCTTGGCTCTCTACAAGGTCAACAAGACAATAAGAGCCTTTATCAAGAACTCAATGGGCAAGTGGAAATCAACTCTAGAAGCCAATTCCAGGACAATAGCACAAGTGAACATTAAATGTGGCAAATACCAAGGTGACGTGCTATCCCCAATGCTGTCCTGCATAGGCCTCAACCCCCTCAGCCAGATCATCAAGAAGAGTGGATACGGATACAGGTTCACGAGTGGAGCTACCATCAGCCACCTACTCTATATGGATGACATCAAGCTGCAAGAATGAGCGAGAAATTGACTCACTGATCCACCTAAGTTATACAGCAAGGACATTGGAATGTCGTTCGGACTAGAGAAGTGCAGATGGATGTTACATAATATACATACATAAACAAGATGGAGCTTCTTAAAATGGCAGTATGACAGATATTCTGTAAAATAGAATATATACCGTAGTGCAATACAGTAATACAAATAAAATTGAGGGTATACACACAGTAAATTTTTCACTCACAAGCCTAGAGTCATAATCTCATATGACTCGGATGGTGTGCGCCTTTGGACCATTTCAGGATGTCCAGATCCTTCTTTCATGCAGGATTCTGTTTATTGTCACCTTTAACCAACTCACAGACAAAGAATGCCGGGTCAGTGGTATGTTTCCAAAAGGATGGTGCTTTATTCCAGATTAAAAACTTTACATAAAAAATAGTAAATTAAAATGTAACACTTTTAATATAAATAGGGCTGTATAGTCCTTAAAAATCGCCAAAACGCATTTCGCCTGGTAAAACAGGCTTCCTCAGTTGACTGTATTGCATACATAATGACCAGATCTTTACCATGGGGCCCGCGGAAATGATGAATGTCCTGAGTACCCTCACACAGCAAGTGACCCTCCTGTCCCAAACCGTAAGTGAATTGCAGCGTGATTTTGCTGAGTTAAAGGGGAACACACACCATGCTCCTGAACCTGATATTGCATTACCTGACCAGTTCACTGGTAAAAAGACTGAACTGCAATCATTTATCACAGCCTGTGAACTGCTCTTCACTTTAAAACCACGCACATACCCCAATGATTATGTGAAGGTTTGCACTACTATTACCCTGCTGTCGGGTAAACCCCCAACACCAACTCCTGCACTCAAACAGTCCAATACTGGACTCGTGGGACTCCTTTGCTGCAGCAATGCGTACATTATACAATGACACCCTGAGATCCTCTGCTGCACGCACTGCCCTCCATTCCCTACGGCAAGGAAGAAGACAAGTGGAGGATTATACTACAGATTTCCAGGAGCTAGCTGCTGACACCGGTTATAATGAGACTGGTCTAATAAAGCAATACAGATTCGGTCTGTCTGAGGCATTAAAAGATGAACTAGCCAGAGTTGGGGTACCCACTTCATTGGAAGAACCGTTTCTTCTGGTCACCCAGCTAGATCGCCGGTTCAGAGAAAGAAAGCAGCAGCCATTTGAAACCAGCTTTTTGCCCCATCAATGTTCCAAACCTGCTGGTGAGACCTATACCCCTATCCCCACCATGGACATAGAGGAACCCATGCAAATTGGAACACTGAATACCATGCTCACAGTAAATGAAAAAGCCAGAAGGAGAGCCAAAGGCCTTTGCTTCTATTATGGCCACTACATCAGCTATTGCCTGATACGCCCTCCTCACCCTAATCATAGCCATGTGGGGGCTCTGTGTCACAATCCAGCAAGTCGTCCATGGCCCCTTTATTGTTCAACTCTGCATGCTCCTGGACCGAAAAGACCACCTAACCAGACCAATGGCACCATCATGGTCCCAGCTGACCCTGCTCCTGTTCCAGAGCCTCAAAAGGAGGCTACCTTCCAATCCTCAGCTTCTGTCTCCCCTAAAGTTTCCTGCTCCAACACAGAGGATCTGTCCCCAGACTGTGTAATTGCCTCCAATGGAACCGTGGTCTGCAGGCAAGATCTAAAGGTCTTTGAACAGGCTCTTAAGGCCAGATCTGCATCCATTTCTCGCCTCCTTGCCTCCACTGCCTTCTCAAAGAATAACAACCTGCAAAATGTTCCTCTCAGATTCTGATGACTATACAGACCTAGATTTCCTGTCTGAACCTGAACTGCACTAGTTGATGCTATGTCTGTCACGGCACAGCCCGAACCCTGCAGACCGCAAGTGTAGTGGATGCAGAGTGCGTGTCAGTGTAGTGAATGCAGAGTGCGTGTCAGTGTAGTGAATGCTGAGAGTGTGTCAGTGTAATGAATGCAGTGTGTCTGTTAGTGTAGTGATTGCTACTAAATTGCTACTAAAAACTTGCAGAATAATTGTAATTGGTTAACTCAAGACAAGGTGCTGCAGCAACTAAAGAAAGTTAATATAAACAAAGCTCCAGGGCCTGACGATATCCATCCACGAGTACTTAAGGAACTAAGTGCAGAAATAAGTGAACCTCTGTTTTTAATCTTTCAAGATTCTTTTCTTTCAGGAAGTGTTCAGGAGGATGGAAGAAAGGCAGATGTGGTTCCTATATTCAAAAAGGGTTCAAAATTCTTGTTTAACTTCTGTGGCTGGGGAAATATTTGAAAGGTTATTAAGGGATAATATTCAAGAATTCCTTGAGAAGAACATGGTTATCAGCAAAAATCAGCACGGTTTTATGAAACACAGGTCATGTCAAACTAACTTGATTGCGTTCTACGAAGAAGTAAGTAGAAGTATAGATCAGGGTGTTGCAGTGGATGTGATCTATTTGGATTTTGCCAAGGCATTTGATACAGTGCCATACAATAGATTAGTGTTTAAACTCAAGGAAATCGGTCTAGATGAAAATGCTTGTTCTTGGGTAGAACATTGGCTTAAAAACAGAGTACAAAGAATTGTCAATAATGGTAAATTTTCTAGCTGGACAGAGGTGGCAAGTGGTGTCCCTCAGGGGTCTGTTCTGGGACCCCTTCTATTTAACGTTTTTATAAATGATCTTGAAGACAGCATTGAAAGTCATGTTTCAGTGTTTGCATATGACACAAAACTCTGTAAAATAATACAATGTGAGCAAGATATTACTTTGCTGCAGAGGGATTTAGATGGACTGGGCACTCAAATGGCAGATGAAATTTAATGTTGAAAAAAATGCAAAGTTATGCACTTCGGCATAAAGAATACACAAGCAACGTATACCCTTAATGGAAGCGAATTAGGGATAACAACACACGAAAAGGACTTGGGAATTGTTATAGACAACAAACTATGCAACAATGTGAAATGTAAATCAGCAGTGGCCAAGGCCAGTAAGGTATTGTTATGCATGAAAAAGGGCATTCATTCTCGGGACGAGTATATCATTTTGCCTCTTTATAAATCACTGGTAAGACCACATATTGAATATGCTGTGCAATTTTGGACACCTGTTCTAAAGAAGGATATTATGGCACTACAAAAAGTGCAGAGGCGGGCTACAAAATTAATAAAAGGAATGGAACATATCAGCTATGAAGAAAGGTTAACAAATTTAAACCTATTTAGTTTAGAAAAACGTCACCTGAGAGGGGATATGATAACATTATACAAATATATTCGGGGGCCAATACAAACCATTGTGTGGAAATCTATTCACAAACCGGACTTTACATAGGACATGAGGTCATGCGTTTAGACTGGAAGAAAGAAGATTTTGTCTAAGGCAAAGGAAAGGTTTTTTTTTTTTTTTACTGTAAGAATGTGGAATTCTGTGCCTGAAGAAGTGGTTTTATCAGAGTCCATACAGATGTTCAAACAGCTACTAGATGCATATTTGCAAAAACAGAATATTCAAGGATATAATCTTTCAATGTAGGGTAATAACTGCTTGATCCAAGGATAAATCTGACTGCCATTCTGGGGTCAAGAAGGAATTTTTTTTCCTAGCTTGTTGCAAAATTGTGCTTCAAACTCTTTTCTTTTGCCTTTTTTTGGATCAACAGCAAAAAACAAATGTGAGGAAGGCTGAACTCGATGGACGCAAGTCTCTTTTCAGCTATGTAACTATGTCATATAGCTCCAGGAAAGATCACCAAAAAAATAAAATAAATAATTAAATAAAATCTTGGAAAATATAACTAAAGGAAAAACGCAACAACAAAGAGTTATACATAATCATACTGAGGCCCCACTCTGTTGTGTGACACTTTCAGTTAAAGGACCACTATAGTGCCAGGAAAACAAACTCGTTTTCCTGGCACTATACTGCCCTGAAGGTTTCCCCCACCCTCATGGCCCCCCTCACGCTGGGCTGAAGGGGAAGGAAGGGGTTAAATTCTTACCTTTCTCCAGCACCGGGCTCCCTCGGCGCTGGGGACTCTCCTCCTCCTTTGGACGTCACCGGCTGAATGCGCATGCGCGGCAAGAGCCGCGCGCGCATTCATTCAGTCCATAGGAAAGCATTCTCAATGCTTTCCTATGGATGTTGGCGTCTTCTCACTGTGAAAATCACAGTGAGAAGCGCGGAAGCGCCTCTAGCGGCTGTCAATGAGCCACTAGAGGCTGGATTAACCCATAGGTAAACATAGCAGTTTCTATGAAACTGCTATGTTTACAGCAGGCAGGGTTAATCCTAGATGGACCTGGCACCCAGACCACTTCATTGAGCTGAAGTGGTCTGGGTGCCTATAGCGGTCCTTTAATATACAAAGTTAAGAATTACCAAAATACAAGTATAAGAGGCATCTCTATTTCTCAACCATGAGTGTATCATTTTTAGGGCCTGCGTGCCTTGCACTGTATATCATTCTGTCTTTATCATGTCTTAAAACAATAAAAACAAGATTTACCCCAAAAATATATATATATTTCCATTTAACATAATATTCATATTGGCTGTTTGCTGTAGAGGTAATTTCTGTATGCACCCCTCGATGACCTCTGTTTAAATATTCTTAGTAAACATATTTATTTTTTACCATAAATATAATGTGTGAAATCCACAAAAAGGGAACCCCATGTAAAGCATAGTCACGCACTGTCCCGTATATTTCTTCACATGTTACACATACTGCTCCTCTCGGTGATCTGATTGGTTGGTGGCACATGGCGAGAGTTTCCTGGTGCCTTCCTTTGAGTCAACAGAATTGAAAATAGAGGGGTGTGTACAACACGGTCCTCACCACAAACTTCCTCTGAACTATTCACCAGCATTTGACTTTTTCACCTTTCTCCTTTTTAAGAATATGTAGCATATTGCGCACACCCATTGTGGAAAATATGATTTTTGTTGCAGTGCTTGTGATTAATAAATGCACCAACACCTTTTCCAATTTAAAAACTATGAACTAGTAAACATTCCAAGCACCATAACCACTACATCCCCTCCCCCAGTAGTCAAACCATTTGGTAACCAATGGAAGCCCAGGGAGGCTATGTATTTTGAATAATTATATCGAGATAAAAAGCTGCTTTCTCAAGATAATAAACCAGAAAAAAATTATTTAAAAAAAATGGTCGCTCTTGGATTCCTCTTTTGGAGCTAGAAGTTCTCTAAACTAAGCCCAGCAATATAGGTGGAGACATCAGTTCCATATATATACATTTATTTTATATACCTCACCATACCTCCCAAAGTACACATTAACACACAGATATACACATATAAACATACTGACATACCCAAATTCACATACACACATGCCCACACGCTGACAAACGACACCTTAACACATGTGCACAGGGCCGCCATCAGAAATTTTGGGGCACATGACAAAGCACAAGGTCTGGGCCCCCCCCCCTCCTCGCGGGCCCGCCCACACCCTACCTAGTCCGCTCACAATGATGCAGGATTGAATGTGGTGTGTATAGTGGAAGTGAATTAGAATGTGTGTAATGGATGTAGTGTTTTGTGCAGTGAATGCAGAGTGTGTGTTTGTGAAGCAGATGCAGTGTGTATAGTGAACGCAGAGTGTATTTGAGTAGTGGATGTAGTGTGTGTACAGTGATGTAGTGTGTGTTTGTGTAGTGGATGTAGTGTTTGTGTGTACTAGATGAAATGTGTTTAGTGGATGCAGTGTCTGTAGTGGATGTAGTGTGTGTATTAGACGCAGTGTCTGTGTATAGTGAATGCAGAGTGTTTCAATTTGTGGTGGATGTAGTGTGTGTACTGTGAATACAGGATGTTTGTGTAGTGGATGCTGTGTGTACAGTTAATGCAGAGTGTATGTTAGTGTAGTGAATGCAGAGTGTGTGTTAGTGTGTAGTGAATGTAGAGTGTGTCATGTAATGAATGTAGTGTGTGTGTTAGTGCAGTGAATGCAGAGTGTGTGTAAATTTGTAGTGAATGCAGAGTGTGTGTTAATGTGTAGCAGATGCAAAGTGTGTGTTAGTGTAGTGAATGCAGTGTTAATGTGTAGTGAATGCAGAGAGTGTGTTAGTGTGTAGCGGATGCAGAGTGTGTGTTAGTGTAGCGGATGCAGAGTGTGTCTTGTGTTAGTGTATGCAGTGTGTGTGTGTTGTGTTAGGGTATGCAGAGTGTGTGTTGTGTTAGTGTATGCAGTGTGTGTGTGTGTTGCAGTGTGTGCTGTGTTAGTGTATGCAGTGTGTGCTGTGTTAGTGTATGCAGTGTGTGTGTGTGTTGTGTTAGTGTATGCAGTGTGTGTTAGTGTATGCAGTGTGTGTTGTGTTAGTTTATGCAGTGTGTGTGTGTGGTGTTAGTGTATGCAGTGTGTGTTGTGTTAGTGTATGCAGTGTGTGTGTGTTGTGTTAGTGTATGCAGTGTGTGTGTGTGTTGTACTGGTGTATGCGGTGTGTGTGTGTTGTATTGGTGTATGCGGTGTGTGTGTGTGTTGTATTGGTGTATGCGGTGTGCGTGTTGTATTGGTGTATGCGGTGTGTGTGTGTGTGTTGTAGTGTATGCAGTGTGTGTGTGTGTTGTGTTAGTGTATGCGGTGTGTGTGTTGTGTTAGTGTATGCAGTGTGTGTGTGTTGTGTTAGTGTATGCAGTGTGTGTGTGTGTTGTGTTAGTGTATGCAGTGTGTGTGTAAATGTGTGATCTGGGGGGGGAGGGGGAGGAAGGGGCATTTTCACATACATTTTTTTATTGAATTAATTAAATGTTTCTC